CAGCCCGCGCCCTCCGCGCCGGGCCCTGCCCGCGGCTCCGGAGCCCGAGTGCCTCGGGAGCGGGGCTGAGCTCTGCGCTCCTCAGGAGCCTGGCGTAGTCCTAAATAGAGAGCTGCTTTTTGTTTGGTTGGTTGGTTTTGGCCTTTTCTTTATTGTTACCCCCATCTACCTCCCCTCCCCACCCCTCCTCTGTCCCAAGAGCTCTGCATTTGGTGGAGACCACGTGCAAAGAAAGGCACTTTTGGCCCTAAGATTTGAACACCTAAAGAACTCACCTTTGAGGAAAGGTCTGTGAACCCAAAATGGATTAGAGCCTTTTCCAGCAGCTGGGTGAGGCTGCTGAGCCTCTAGAAGGGATGGGGTTTAAGAAACCCTGCTCTTGTCTCTGGGATTTCCAGGGTGCTTCCACTCATAGCCCCACTGGCACTGCTCTCCTTGGTGTTTCACTGGCCTCCCTTGGTGTCAGGGCTGTGCTGCAGTTGACTGAAGCACGTGGCTTCAGTGGCCTCTAGGCTTCCTTCTGGGGCCAAATGCAGTTATCTTGCTTGCGTTCAACCAGGCAGCCTGCTTCAGATGTCCTGGTTCTCCTTAGTACTTTAAATGGGCCATGTTCACTAGGTAGCTGAGGAAAATAACTTGAGTTTTTAATCAAACGCTGAAGCTTATTTTTTTTTACGGGGAAGGGAGAGCAGGAACTGGGCAGGGTTCAGGGTCTGTTACCTTGGTGGACAGTAACATGCTCTGCATGTTTTCAGTGGGGAAGCTGCTGCTATACAGGCAGCCCCGGCACCTGCAAGTCATGGTACTACGAAAATAAAATTCAATAAGAAGTATCAGACATTGCACAATATCAGTAAGGAATGGTGCTTGGGGCTAGGGACTAGAATGAATGAGCCTCAGGGCTTCTGAATGTTAGGTCACAGTGTGGTCTATGCTGGTTTGAAAACCTGTGTACCAAAATCAAGGAGCAACAGGCATGGGATTTGTCTTTCCCTCAGCTGTCTCCCTGCTGTTCAGTGTCCTGTTCAGCTGTTGCAGCCAGCGCTGTCTGCACGTGTGTGAATAGGTGCCAAGGGCTCAGCTCTTTAACTGCCAACACCTGTCCTCTTTGCCCGCAGCTGACATCAGCCTTGCAGACTGGGGTCGCAAGGCCATTGAGATCGCAGAGAATGAGATGCCGGGGCTGATGAAGATGCGGGAGATGTACGCGGCGTCGAAGCCGCTGAAAGGTGCCCGCATCGCAGGGTGCCTTCATATGACTGTGCAGACGGCGGTTCTCATCGAGACCCTTTTAGAGCTGGGAGCTGAGGTAAAGTGTCTTTGAGCTTCTCCTACAGAACGCTCTTAGGTGATGCTCTGCCTAGGGCAACGCTTCTGTTTTTGTAACTACCCTGTGTGTTTCTGGCAAACTTTCTCACTTCTCAGAAGAGACCACTCTGCAGTCTCCAGGTGGATGTCCTGCCTCTTCATTCGTTCAGCAAAAGGCTTGTCACCTCAGATACGTGTGCCTTGGGGTTGCAGGCAAACTGCATCTTCTTGAGTGTCTATTTTATTCAGGGTTAGGATGGTAGCTTCAGCAGCCCCTCTGGCCTGGAAGCAGCTGCCTGTACAGCACCCTGAAGAGCTGCGCCAAAAGCTGCGCCCACACAGTTGTGCTGTGCTCAGGCATGCACTGCTGTTGCTGGTATGCTGCTAATGCTGAATATTTAGTTGCTGCCTCCAGCACAGATTAACCTGGATTAAGGACTACATCATGTCCTGGTAAAGTCAGCGAAAACTAATGAAGCCCTCTGAGAGCTGCTGTTGGCCCTTGAGCTGTGCAGGAATTACAACAGGGAGACTGTTACAGTGATGAGGGATTTTGCTGGTTTTGAATTCACTGTGTGAATTTAGACTGGTTTTCTGGGTGTGCATTAAAGGCTGAGGTGTTTATGAGGTAATGCACCTACTGCATCATGCCCTGTGCTTGGCTTGCAGAATAAAATCCAAGTATCATAGGG